CTTGCACTTGCCTCATTATAAATATAGCGTCGATGAATGATCTAACCTGACCTAAAATATTGTTCTTCTGTTAGTGTTATAATTTCATTCAGTTTATTTGTTATCACGTTGGTTGTTAATTTTAGTGTTGTGTTTAATAAATTAATTCGCTTGTATTTTTCCGGGTCCGATTTATCTCCCTTTTAGAAGAGAAGTATTAAGAGGCTTTGGGAGGAGCTCATTCGGTATTATGACCTCTCCTGGTGATTTTATATTTTTTAATTTCCTTAACATTTCCTTTATCTCTTCCCCAGATGGTTATTTCGTTATTTCTTTATTTGTCACCTTTTGCAATAGAGATCGAAAATAGTCTTCTCATTTCTGAATGTGTTTCGTTTTTATTAGTTCGTTTATCTCTTTTCTGTGTTCTCGGATGTCTTCATTTTATTCTTATGAAAGCCGGTATTCAAAACTCTCAAACTGTTAAATCCAAATTCAGATATCAGAAAAATGTTTCAGCTATATAAAAATGCCAACAAGGTTTACTTAAAAAAAAAAATGTATTATGAATGGTTTTTCAAATATTGCAATGTAATTTTTATTTTAAAGCACCAGTTGAAGACCCCTGCAATATTAGAAAAAGAGCTTCACTCAAAGGCTGAACTAGCGAGAAAATTATTAAAACATAAACTTTCTACTAGTGAAACCATCTACATATATGTAGATTTGATCTAAAAAAAACTTCCATTTTCATAACTTAACAATTGTGTTGCTTATATGGTAAAAGGTGCTAACTGAAGAGAGAGAGACCGCTAATAGGGTTCGTCTGGGTGGGTAATTTTAATTTTTATTTTAACACATTTAGCCTATCTAAGCCTACCCATTTTTATGAAAGATATTACATCTCTACCATTAACTATTTCTTCATACTTCTCGTTCAATTCGAAATTATATCGCCTTCTCCAAATACCATTCTCAAATATTGCGCCCATTATTCTTTTAGTATATTCCTAAGACGAGAATAAAAAAAGAATTTCATAAAACCGTTGTTGGTTAATATTCTTGTTATAGATTTTCAAAAAATTCTTCGCGCATCTTTCCTATGAAGCTTATATCGAGTCGCTACTTCAGCATTTTACTATAGAGACAAAGTAATACAACGAAAGTATAGAAGTTTCGCTACAAAAATGCAACAGGGACTTCTTGACGAAGAAAATAAAATGAAAAGTAAAAAAGAAAGATAAGCTATGAAAATTAAAAAAAAAAGCGTAACGTCAAGAGCCAAATTTCTGGTAAAATCATTTAAACCTTTTCGGAAGATGATGAATATTTAAGTGATTGTGGGAATTTCAACCCATATATTAGTTATTATTATAATTACATTTGTAACTAATTTAAGAAAAATGACTCTAAAATACATGTAATCTTACAATTGAGTGATTGAATTCTGTTAACATTTTCCAGTAAAAAATCAAGTAAATATTTGGTGGGGAAAACACTTTTCAATTGTCAATCTAACCACTTTGTTTCAATGCGCTCTACAGCAGTTTCCTATATTGTTTCTATCTTATCATCACTAGATTATATTCGTAAAGGGGAAATCAATTTCCAAGTAGAATTTCTTGTTATTTATACTTTTAATAATAAAGTTAATTTGAAATTTATTTATAATTTCTTGTCACTTCTTTACTTTTGCAATAAAAACAAAACAAACACACAACACTGTTTTTTTTTAAATTCCACCAAATATCATCAACTTAATATAGGTTAGGTTCAATTTCAGTGAGCGCTTAATCACCCTTCCACTAGACCTAATAGGTCTATAGTGGCTCATCCCTAGGTTAAAGTTAATGACCAGACTTCGTCACAAACTATATTATTCTCTTACGGGACACTGTTAAACTGTATTAAGCCTTATTCTATCCAGCCCTACGGAGACCTACGATAATACGCAGATCACTACAATTCACTTTTTGTGGATCTTTGGCTCTCTTCTTCGAAGGTTTATGTATAAAAGCCTTCGAATGTTTGCCACACGTTTGTAAGTACCAGTGATTTCATTCCATCCGTTCCACTAAGTCCCATATTGTTCTTTTGGTTGTGTTTCTTGCTATGCCAACGACAGTTTCTGGGCCTGTGAATGTTTCTTTTGTCCCTCCCCTAGGCCAGTAGGTCTTCCGCTTTTTTGTTCCCTTCAATACCAGTATGTTCAGGCACTCAGACTAAACTTACTTTGTTACTTTTTCCGATCCGAATCAGATTCTGAAGACAGTTGCAGATAATTTTAGACAATTTTTCACATATAAACTATAACATGACAACAAAATTATTAAACATGAATAAAACAACCAAATAAAGAAATTCTCAAAAACCAACACATACAGATACTACAATTGATAACCGATCCATTCGACCATATAAAGAAAAAATGACCGCACATAACAGTATGATATACAGGTCGATAAATATTCCTATTTCACAAGGTAATTATAATATTGAACTGTGGTGAATTAAGCGAATAGCAATAAAATTAATAGACACCTTGCATAATAAAAAAATATACAACCAAGCTACTAGTCATATCTACCTTGATGCGCCAGACAAAAAATAATACTATTTAACTGGGAATAAGCCACAATTAAAGATAAAAATACGTTTATTAACGTTTCAATTTCCGCTTCGGAAATCGTTCTCAAAATACAAATATAATACAAAATAGCTTCAGAACAAAAAATAATACCACGATTCGTTAACATTTATGGGTGTAACCTTCTTCAAGAAAAAGCTCTAAAATCCAGCAATTCTTGGGTAAATATATAAAACACAATAAACATAGACATGATAGAAACCAAAGTTCAGGACAGAGAAACCACCACATTCAACAAAATAGCACAAGCGTTGCCAAAAGAGAAAACGGTTTTTGTCAGAACCATCTCTGACAACGATCACCATTAACATTGACATCACCAAAAATAAAAAGAAGCCCACATCTGCAGAGAACCAAGTGAGCACATAGTCCTCAGATCCCAGGAATGCAACTACTAGTAGAATTTCCACACTCAAATAAACTATATGCTAAAATAAACATGATTGCAATCTCAGTCGGCACTACAAATCATAGTGGTATAAAAATACTAACAGCAGAATTAGGAGAATATAACATGACGCCCATATATAAACCGCAAGGGGTATTCAATTTTATACCGCCAGATAACTTTTGGTCTAAAACACAAAATTTATTCTGGACAACTTTAACAGCCACTATATCCGATGGAAATACAACAATACCATTATCTTGAAACAGGAAGACTCGGAAAAAGGGTTACAACTCAGATTTATGCTTCGTGTTCGGACTCAAAGTACATATTTTAACCTCTATCGTTCCATTTAGAAGGTTTAGTTTCAGGAAGGCTAAATGAGCTGGACCTAGATATAAAAGTCGGTGCAGTCGACCCAACCCCGGAGGCCTTCGGAAAATACGTATAGATAGTCCAGAGGACATCCGTGAGATATATTCGTAGAGGCTGTAGACAACAATACATCCCTGGAGTCACACATCCTATTTCGGTACGATCGAAGAACTTCAATAACATCGAGGAATATCTCGAAGCTGCCCTAAACAATATGTCTAAATATTACAGAGAAAACTACCTTCAGCCAAATGCCTCAAAAACACAAGTAAACGCCTTTCATCTAAATGGGAACTACAAGTTACGTAAGAGGGAAAGGTCCTATAGCCCACAGACAAACCTAAGTAGCTCGGAGTTACGTTCTTTAATATATGACCAAAGTCATAACACCTCTATTTCGTGTTTTTTAACATGAGAGTATGCCTGCCCAGTCTGGAATCGATCATCATCATCATTGGCGCTACAGCCCTATAAAAGAACCTCGACCTTCCCAAGTCTATAACGCCAGTCAGTTCTATCCATTGCCAACTGTTGCCAGTTTGCTGCGTCTATTTTTCTACCATCCTCATCTACCCCATTCCTTCATCTGAGTTTTGGCCTACCCCTACTTCTACTTCCCCAGGTTGTGACATAAAGATTCTTCTACGAGGGTTGTTCTGCTGTGATCTTGCCAGATGTCCTGCCCATCTTAGTCTTCCTATTTTTGTCTTCCTGTCTTAGTTTGGAATCAAGTTCAAGCAAAACAAGTTGATGTATGAAACCTACTCCACTCAACCTTCTGTATAAGGCGGCAGGTTTCTCATCACCTAAAAAACGCAGAGCACCTGCTGAATATGAAGAGAAATTTAAACAAACTTTCGATGAACGCCACCCACTGTACAACACGGAACATAACCGTTAGAGGCTAAAATCCAGAAAAAGCTTTTTGCGTTGTGTGTCAATCGGCCCACCATCCCAAGAAGAGAGGTCGTCCGATAGTAGACTCAACTGGGAGACCTAAAGGACATTACACTGTATTAGAACTGGCGTAGCTCCAGTAAAGATCAACAAAATAAAGTGGAAGCTGCAAACCACTAATAGCGATCTGTGCGAATGTGGATAACAACAAAATACGAAGCATCTGTCATGCCCTAGATGTCTCTCCACGACCTATGGTTGGTCAGCGATGCAGCGTTACTGTGCCGAGAACCTCATCTACAATTAGATGGGAGTCTGGACTCGAAAAAATAAAGTATATACCAAATATACATGTCAAAAAATAGACATAGGTCAGACAGAAAGAAGGTTTAACAAATGGATAACGACGCACAGAAAAAGTTGACGATATTCTGTGGATATTTAAAAACTTTTGGTTTATTATTGAACATGATCTTCCATCAAGTATCCGCCAACTCTATAAATAGTTCCTTGGTTTTGTCTAAAGTGTTATTTGAAAACTATTAATATTTTATATGAAGAATACGTAATATTTGCTTTGGTTCTATGTCCGGCATTTAAGAATAATACAAAGCAACAGCATGATACAGATTTGCATTTACAACTATGCTCTTGCTCCATTTCGTTGGACCAAGTGCGTAATATTTTATGTAACAAAATTTCAAATCTTTTTTCACAAAACTTCAGCACTAAATATAAAATAACGTTGAACTTACAAATATTTGCTCCGCACTTACCGCCCCTCACCTTGTAAATATAATTGGATTAAATATAAGTTTTGGCAGTGTTCAAACGTTATATGATACTTTTTTCAGGCAGTTATAAATAATTGGTTTCTCTAATGGTTTCACAAATTTTTCTGGTATTAGGTTGCAATGCAACTGTCTACTTTTTAAACTCTTAACTTTTTTCTGATCAAGCAGATTAGGAACATGAAACGACCAGAAATTACTTTTTTATACGAAAAAAATTATACCAAGCCGTTAATTTTTATATATAATATGACAGCAACCACACATCAGAAAAATACTAGAAACCCTTGTTTAAACTTCGTGGACAAGGGACTAAAACTTAACATTATTCGGGGTGACTATAATATATATGTGAACTATACTCTGCTTCTGTTCCGAAGCGTTTTTTACAAAACGGACACGGTAACCGTGATCCTTCACATTGGTTTTTCTTATGGAAATAGAGGTGTGACTTGTTAGCGAAGGCTTCCCAACAGGATGAACATTTGTATGATCTAAAAAACAAAACAAAAATGTATATGAAAGTATATACAAAAATTTGAAAGTGTATTTGTAATCACTGAATTATTTAAATATCATATTTGTATGTATTGTAATAAAAATTACATTTTATAATTGTTTTGACGATTCGATTTCCACTCTGGAAATAGTTTTCAAAAAAAGATTATTTTAAAATCGTATGATGTTTTTATAACCAAGTTGGCCTCGATCTGGAATCAAATATCCATGATTTTAGTTAAAATTTTGAGGGTGGTGTGTATACCCCTTACGATGATATCACATTCTGATTGTTTTGACTGTTTATGTATTATGTGTTTATGTATTATTGTGTATAGTATTGTGTGTTGTATACATATTACGTATAATTGTAGACGATGTGTCCCTGACTTTGTATTAATCCGCTAATGTTTGTATGTTATTGTTGCTGATTTCTTCTTTTAGTATTGGCAATCAGAGCTGCCTACATTCAGCTGATGGGTTCGCTACACAAGTAAGATAAGCTTCTTTGATTTTGGTCTTTTTCATGACTATTGTTGCATCTTTCCATTATACCCTGGGCTCAGTGTCATATGCATGTTTACAAGTCTATGATTTGTCAAAGTATCTGTTTTTGTTGTACTTTTTCATGCTCGTTTATCTTGCCACTTAGGTGGTCTTGCGGTTTCTCTCACATAAAAATTGTTGCTTTCACGGAGTATTTTATAGATGTAGTTCTTTGATTTCTCTTGTGTGCTATTTTGGTTGGTTTGGGACAGAATAGATTTCAGTGTGTTGTTTGACATTGTTTTGAATATTGTTATGAAGTTGTTCTTATTTCCTATCCTTTTTAATATTTTCTATAAGCCCTGTATATTATGGTATTGTTACCAACTTTGAATTCCTTCTTGTGGACGTTTCTGGATTGCTTATGGTGTTTTGTTGTTTCTTTTCTCCAATCTTGTGAAATAAATCTTTGTTTATAAATAACAAAGGGTAATATTTTTTTGTTAAAATCTGCGTTAGCAGGTTTTTTCTTCCTGAAATGCTTTTTCAATAGAGCAGATGTTTTGGGCTTATTATAAAATGATTTGATAATTCCCTTTTGGATTCCGTTTATGTTGTGTTTTGACTGGTAATGTAAATATCTGTTCTTGTGTAATTAGCTCACCCAGAAAAGGAAGTGAATGTTTGTTTTCTGTTTCTTTGGCGAATTTGATTGATTCTTATTTACTGTTGATGTTCATCAGATTGCCCCAGCGGAAACTTGAGCCCAAATTTTGGATTAATGTTCGGCATTACAAAATATTGTTGAAACTCGCTTAATTGTTTACCAAAATAGATTTTGTTTTTTTTAATTAAAGGTTTTTTTTTGTACTCTACAAAACTATTTGAACGAAAATTTTAAAGACATATAAAGAAATAACAAAAAATATAATATATTATAATGTTAAGGTCACCAAAACTATGTTCCAAAATTTTTAAAGGGGTACAAGACAGTTAAAAATCGGAAAAATCGGGTTTTTTGTCGTTTTTTCGCCGTTTATTGACTTACATTTTTAGTTATAGATGCGCTACTCTTTTAAAAGTTATTTTAGTAAATAGCTGACATCAATACCTTTAATTTGGACCCCAGATAAACCATTTTAGACTCTTATAACCAGAGTTACATTGATTTAAAAGACGAAAATCTGATTAGAACCGTTGCGTCGATTCTCCGGCGTTTTTACCGTTTTTGAGTTATACCTTCAGTTAGAGAGACGCTACTATTAAAAATAATTTGAGCCCTCAGTTGACATCAATATCTTTAATTTGGACTCTGAATGAACCATTTTAGACCCTTAACAAGAGCTATGATCATTTTAAAGACGAAAATCTGGTTAGGAGATTCGGTTTTCCGAATATTTCGCCGGTAATCAGATAATATATATGCCCATTAAGGGTGTTATTTAAAATCAAATCTATATTAAAGTTATATTGTTTTAAATGATATATAATGAGGATTTTCTAATAAATCAATATTAATAGGTTGTATTTGAAGAATATTATGTTGAAAGTATAAGGATTTTGTAGGCATGACCCAAAAACTGGAGATACTAATTAAATTTAAAGAGTATTGATGGTTGCCTACGTGTGAGTTTCTGTATAAGTCTAATTCATATATGTACGGAGAATCTGTAGAGTTTCAAAAGGAAAAATGTATATGAATATTGTGAGAATGTAATTATTTAAATTATCGTCATGAAGTGAAATTCAGAGAATGGTTAGTAATGGTAAATGAGTTAGAATTAAGAGACAGTGTCAGTATAGAATGGTTTAGAATATGGGTAGAATGAACTGTTTATTGCAAAAGAGTGAAATTAATGTGTTATAATCACAAGTGGATGTAATATATGAAAAAGGGGGGGAGGAACATATGCATTAGAACCAAGAATGTTGGTTAAATAAACTGTATACCATTTGGATTTAAATTCTACTCAAACTATATATCTGTGAACTAGTAAAGTAGTTATGATCAGGAAGTAAAAAAATGTAAGTGTACAGGTTTGATCAATTCAATGGGGTCTTTATAGACAATAATTTCTGTATGTTTTGGAAAAAAAAGTGCAGTAATGGTCAAACAGTTATAAAAAGGAGGTAGGAACAAAACGAGATGTTATGTTGAAGATTATATCTTCTTTCATTGGATATACTGTGTGTACAAACATGTGAGTTGGTGGTCTATAGAAAAGTATTTAATATAATTTTGAAGTATGCAGAGTGCAATATTTAAAACATTTAATTTTAGAGTTTATGGACTAGAGGTTGCTCAACATATATAAAATGGAGGTAAAACAACTGTTATTTGTGTTTTGAAATAAATATTTTAAGATATGTAAAATAAATGAGCTGATGATAAACTTGTAGTACTATATGAGTGAAGAATTAAAATGTAAATATGTGGGGGTAGTTATATCTATACAACATAAATGTATGATAGAATAAACCGAAAATACTGATACTTTGAGACCGAGATACTTTGAGAACTATCGGAGACAGTTGGGAGAGGAGAGAAGTAAATGAAATAATTTACAGTTGTGGAATGATTATTAATTGAAGTGAAAGGGAGACGAAAATGGAAATGTGAAGATTAGATGTTGTCAAAGTAAGGAGAGTTAATATGATGTTTATAGGAGGGGGCATATAAGGTTGACCTACAATGAAAACATTAAAATGGTAGAAAATCTCAGATAGACTGGGAAATAATAGTAGGCTGAATGTTTATAATAAGTTAGATTAAATAATGGTAATATTGTGAAGAACAAAAAAGATAGATGCAAATCGAATAGAAAGTTACTAGCTAAGTAGTAATGAGAAAACAATTAATTGTACGAGGAAAAATGGAATAAAGATTACTAAAATAATTGTGGGTGTATGGGAGTAAAGTCACAATTAAAAGAGAGGTGACGATTGACACAATTGGGACTAGTCTTCATGTCTGACAATTTCTAGATCTTCATATAAATCTAAACGGAATATGTTTTTGTCTTAAATGTTATGAATCAAAGGTACACTGTCTGGAATGTTTAAATGATGTTTATTGACTTTGAGATGAGAGAAGGCGGAAGTGTTGACACGTTTAAAGTGTTCTGCTCATCACAGTCGGAACATGGCAGGCTATATACATCACTTCGGTTCATGTAGTGAATTGTATATTTGGTATTGGTTAAACCTTTATTGAGGGTATTATTAACTTTGTTAATTGCTATTTGTTTGATTATATCCAATTACTTATTAAATTCAAATTTGGTATAGTATGCAATCTATGAATAAAACTTCTCAAAGCGGAATGTTTACGCAAAAGAGGATGATTGGAAGTAGAATGAACATAATCCGTTTGGGTGGGCTTCCGGTAAATACCAAAATTGAACTGGTTGTTCAGTCTGGTAATGGACAAATCTAGAAAAGTTTTGGCATTGGAAGATTCTAGTTCCATAGTAAATTTATTCTTACCGTAGATTTGGTTAATTTTAAATAGTAGGTGATGAGCTGACTCATGATTACCAGAGATGAAGACTAAACAGTCATCAACATATCGGAACCAATGTATTATTTTAGGATTTTTCATGATGTAATTTGATTCTAGATTATACATAAAGACATCAGCTAGGAGAGAGGATAGGCAACTGTTCATTGCTAGACCGTCTGGTTCTTTGTAGAAATTAAGAGTGATTTTACCAGACCAATTGTTTCGTGTTTGGGCACTGAAGTGAATATGTTGCTAACATCAAAAGAAAACATGGTAATGTCAGGATGTAGATTAATGAGCTGACGCTTATCAACCAATTGGTAAGAGTTTAGTACTGAGAATTGTAAAGTGAAGTTGGTCAAGTTTTTGATAGTGTTGAGAAGGAATTTATATAAAATAGAACTGGAATGTTAATGAAAATGACAACATATTAAATAGGAATGTCAACTTTGTGTGTCTTGGGTAACCCATACAAACTTGGGATCAACGGGTTACAATAACTATTCTTTTTCCTAAAAAAAAATTACATATATATATATATATATATATATATATATATATATATATATATAATTTAAAACTATCATATAACATTAATATAAATTTGATTCTAAATAACACCCTTACCGGGCATATATTATCTGTAGATGTGTGCTTATTAGTTCTTTTATACGAACTAGTTCAAGAGAACTTCACAAAAATGAACTAGTTCAGTGAACTAGTTCGCGAAAGAACTATTTGTAGGACCGAAATCGAAAGCCAACCCTAACATAATTGGTTGCCAGATGTCTCTTCTCAATCATCACACAAACTCGGCGCCGGCCGCCTGTTTTCTTCGGGTTTCAGTAAGTATTTCACTACGGTGCGGCGTACAAGTAGTTCGGATTCGAAACCATTTCTTTCGATCGTATGTTTAGGTTTAAATGTTTTAAATTATTATATGATTAGTTAGTTTTTCTTTATAATAATTTATTTTCTTAATCAATCCCAAAAGATGAGTAACAGACGAAATAGAAGTTTTTTTTGGGATGATTTCGAGAAAAACGGTAAAAATCAACAATCTGCAAAATACAATTACTGTTCATGTGATATTAGTATTGCTAGTGGTTCACTTGGCAATTTATCAAGACATTTAAGAATGAGTCACTCTGCTATCAATCTCAAATATCTCAATATTGAAAGATATACAGAAAAAGGATCCGAAAAATCAGAAAATACATTTCAAGAACCTCAACCTTTAACGTCAAAATCAGTTTCGTTAGTAGGACAAGCAAGGGAAGATGAAGAGAAAGCAGTTATAATTCTTAAGAAAAAGCCTGCTCCTACTCCCCTTGTTTCTAACTAGTTCAATTAGTTCAGTTGAAAGAATCGTTCATTTGAACTATTTCGATGGTGAACTACACATCCCTAGTTATCTGATGACTTTTTAAAAACTACCTATCACTTGTCTTGAAGGTCTTTTTATTTCAAAACAATTTTTACTTCCATCAACAGTTGATTGTTATATCTCAGGAAGTAATGGCTCTTTTTCGAGTTAGGAAATTGTATCTTCCTCAAAAAATGTAATCCTTTATCATCGAGCTAGTGTCTTAAGAATTATAATATTCGTTACTCTAATTATGTAATTTAAGGGTCATCTGACCTCATTATGTGACTAGTTCCAACTTATGTTTATATATACGAAGTTATTAACCAGATTTTCAATTTAACAGTCAAAATTTTACCCTTTTGTTTTCATTTTTAAGCGCTTTATTTATTTGTAGGTTTTTCACTGATAATGATCTGATAGGATCGAAATTTTACCATTTTACAAAAGGAAGTTTTTATTTCATTATAAGTTTTTTGTATTCTTATGTTTGTTGTAATGAAATCTATTATCGATCTCCGTACAGACGCACTCCCATCACAAGTTCCTCTTCCATCGATGCGCGCTTGAAGAGATGAAAAGCCGATAACCGTATAAAACAGCGTACGCCACAAGGGAAAAGGGAGTTCCGCTAGAGTGTTGATCTAGTGGGAACTCCACTGGATCTAGGGTAATGACTGAAGACCAACTGCTTCTGTTAGAGTGTTGATCTAGTGGCAGTTCCGTATCCATTTTTGGAATATTGATCTGAGACAGACCTATTCTTTCTCGTGACTAAGTATTGATTAGTCTCTTTCCATCCCTCGCCGGACCGACTGTTGATCGGCCCGTTCCATCTCTATTCCTCTGACCCGTCCTTTCCTTTCTTCATGGAGTGTGTATTAACACCTCATAATTGTCGTTTTAATTTTATGACATTAATTATATTTTATTTTTCGCAGGTATTAAACAGTGGGTCACCGAGCCGTGCTGCCGTTTGATTATTGTTCTCTTGAATATAATTTTATTGTATTTATTTGTTCTAAATATATTTTTATTTTAATTAAACCTGAGTTTTACTGAATCTGCTGTCTAAAAGAGCTACCCGTCACCAGTTCTTACTGATAAAGATTTATCAACAACTCTCCATTTGTATTTTGAACATACTCGTATTATAAATATTTAAATTAAAAAACAAAAAAAAAATGACAAAAAATAAGCTAAATATATAAAGAAAATAAAATGTTTTTTATAAAATCTAGAGTAAGTAAAAAAAAGATTTAAATACTCTATGAATAACGATACGACACATATTTTAGTTTTCTGAATAATTAATTTTGTTATATCATCCATTAAGGATTAAAGTAACTGTTATCTTACTTTTTATAGAACAGCCTTACCTGTCAGGGTCGGGTAGGTTAGCTCCACCCATTTGTTGAAACTGGCTGGTACCAGCAGCCATCTGAGCCATTTGCTGCATTTTATCCGACTTTTTAATCGAAAGCTGCGGATTGTTTTGAACAATTTTCATAACATTAGGGTTTATTAGAGGTGGCTTCTGCTTAGGATTCTTGCTAATGGGTGTAATACTGACTGCGCCATCTCCCAATGTATCTGAAAAAGAAGGATAATCTACAAAACTTTCGAGCTAACATGTCAAAGAAAAAAACGCACAACTGCTACTTAAGAGGATTTGTGTTTATTTAGTAAAATTGACTTTGTTTAGTGTTTTTTTAAATTTATAAAATTACTTGGAATATAAAAATTACCTGGAAAGTTTTGATCCATTCCACCGGCTTGTTCATGAATCTCAACCATGGGTTCCATTGTCGCAGGATCCATTGGTTCTTGTTTGATAACAGCGTCCATAGGCGGTGTAGGGAATTGTTGCATAGCTGGGCGGTAATTCATTTGACCCATTTGATGATTAGGGGCAGGTGGAAAACGAGGGCGATTAGGTGGTGGATAAGGAGGAGCTTGCGTCTCTCCTTTATGGATACGCATGTGACTGTTACGGGAGTAAATAGTAGGGAAGGGCGTGTTACAGATAAAGCAAACGAATGTCTGTTGTTGTGATGAAGGTTTGGGATCTTTTAGGATATGATCTGGTAGATATACCTGTTAAAATATGCAACTATTAAATAATACCTATATTTTATATATGTAATTTTATAGTATACAGGATTGTGCGAATTAACGTGAATACATATTTTTCACATTCTTTACTTTTTTACTAGTTGGCAACACGTTTGTGTTCAAGTAGTTAGAAGCTCTGATAGTGTGTAGCATGACATGTGTTTTGTTTTAAGAATTATTGTGTTTTTCTGAAGTAATCTGAATAAGGCTATAATTTGGCTCTTAATTTTGAAGGTAGAGATCACTAACAAAACACGCACGAATCTTATCGTTTTTAGCGAACATACATAATTAATTCAAAGATATATTGCCAAAGTACAATATTGTCCAAAATAAGCAGTACTGAAACATAGATGTCTCTTTGAGCGCGCTGTCATATTCAAATTAACTAGTATAGACCTGTCAAGTAATCCCTACACAATTAATTATTAAGGCCTAATTGTTAAAAATGATGTTAAGTACAGAGGAGAAAGTGTTTCTTGTGGAGCATTATTTTCGCTCATGCGGAATCGGCCGACGTAATAGTGCAAGTCTGTAATACGTGTGTGATCAATTCACACAACGGTTTAATAAACGTTCTGCAATAATCTTGGAAAATCCGAAAGCCAGTCAGTAAAGAACAGCGATGCATCTTGGCTTAAAACGAACTTCTTTGCAAAGAATCCTGAAGGAGCTGGGTGCATTTTAGTATGTAATTCAGGTACATGTAAATCGTCCTACAAATCGATTTCTGGGCTTTGCCAGACCAGATGAAGTTCAAGAAGTTCCTTTACATAGCGCAAAGTGAGTGTCCAGGTTCGGGAGACGGAATAATTGATCCATACATTATCGAAGAAAATGGTAGGCAAGTCACACTTAATCAACAGAGGTACATATAAATTTGTAACACGCTTTATCCCTGATCTACGTCAATTTTGTCGTGCACGTAATTTGACATTTCGAGATCAATTTTTCCAGCAGGATGGAGCAACTTGTCATACTGCTGTCGCAGTTCAAAGATTATTGTACACGGATATGAATAGACAATAGTAAACAACAATACATAAGGGGTTTCCCATGATTTTTTTATGTGGTAATAGGCAAAATAAAATAACTTACATCATCCTTATATGGACCAATTTCCTTGGCACAATTCCTAACAGGTCGACCAGCAGGCGAAACATCACCATTTTTAGCTGGAGCTGGAAAGTTCTTAGCAGGAGGAGTAGCAGTAGCATTTCGCATTTGAGGAAACTGGCTAAAATCACAGTTTTTGCTATGGACGTTAAATTCGTCCAATTTGAAAAATACCTTGTAGCATTTACGACAAAAGTACGCCTGGTTACCGGTCTTTGACTGTGAGGTTTGAAACTCCTAAAAATATAAATGTCAGTTTGTTTGTCCAGTAAATTATTTACGAAAAGCGAACAAATTTATTGATTAGTTGACAATATAGATTAAAAAAAAAACTGTATTTTTGTAGCTTTTTAATAACAGATAAAAAAGAAAACCATCTTTTTGTCAAACTTTAGTAGTTTAATTATGAAATCGCATGCGGAATCCGCACTGGCTATTTTGTTTGTACCCAACATACATGCATTTTGTCAACTGTATATTTTTCAATTGATTTAACCACATAAGGAGGTTTTCAAACTGTTTTCTTGTTAAATGTCTAAATTAAACATTATGTTTATACGAGATTAAGCCACAATTGATTGTAATGAATTTTGATTTCCACTCTGTAAATCGTTTTCAAAAAAGTCCACAAGGAAAAAGTTTTATTGAAAATCCTTTATAAAAGACCCTTTTGGACCAGATCACAGAACATTTTTGGACTAACTCATGATGTAGTTGTTAGTCCGAAAACGCTCTGTGATGTAGCCCAAAAGGGTCTTTTTAATTGTAATCCTTTTATAAAAGATTTTTAAATAAAACTTTTTCAAAAAAGATCCAACAAGTTGTTGAGCGGGTTATGTTTTTTTGAAGTTATACTTCTATACGCACGGTCGGCGTTGGAAATTTGCATGGGAGTGAATCTGTGAAACCATTACATATGTAAGATAATGAGTAAGAGAGAGGCAGAAGATATATTTTTTCTCTCTTCCTCTCTCGAGAATAAAAATGTTCCTTTTGTATATATATATATATATATATATATATATATATATATATATATATATATATATATATATATACACTCACCGGCAAAATTAACGGAACAGCTTAAAATTGAGACATGTTAGATGTCTCGAATTTCCTAAACCTGTTGTCCGATTTTAGTGATTTTTTTAGTATGTTATAGGTATATTATTTAAGAATATCGATGTAATAATATTGTTGCTAGACAGGTCAATGTCATTTTATACCGGGTGTAACAATCCTACTGTGTTTTTTCCTTAAAGTTCGGAACACCCTGTGGAATATTCTAGCATATATACAATATTGAAATTAAAATATTAAAATATTTTTTTTTGATGAGATTCTTCTAAAGAGATCTGGGAAGAGGACCCAGATACTGTTGGATTCGTCTGAACTATAACGTTGGAATGTTGATAAGGTTAGTTCAGGCGCCTACCAACTAAACTCACCCTCTCTTCCAGCAGCGCACCCGGAACTTTTCTTGGCGAATGCAACTTCGGGAGGACCACCGCGGTCTCCAATTTTCACGAAAACCTACTATAGTCCTCGGTAGAGAGTCTCAAAGGTAGCTGAGTGACATAATGACAGTATAAAAAACAATATAAGTAAATAAATAGGACAGTTACACTATAAAATTAGTACAGAACGCTGAAGTATGTGTCTAATGAGCAAAAAACGCGAAGTACAATTATTTTATTAGTCTTTCAGCCTATTCCTTCATCCTGTCTCGCTCTTTCTAGCGTCTCCTTTTTTTTATGATTTCCGTTATTATTTCTAACACATAATCATAGTTCTTTCTGTTCTGCATAGCTAAGTCCAGTATATTATTGGGCGTGGCCTCTCCTAGCTTAATTCTCAGTCTTTGACGTTCTTGTAGAAAGACATTACATTCGAAAATGCAATGTTCCGCGTCATCAGTCACACCACAATCCATACAGATATCGTCATTTGTTTTTTTAATTCTGTATGTATACGACCTAAAAGAGCCGTGTCCGGTCAGGAATTGTGCAAAGAAATAGTTTATTCTCTTGAACCTACATTTGTACCATGCTTTTACATCGGGTATTAGTATTTTAGTCCATTGTGCTTTTTCCCTTTGTGCCTCCCATTCAGATTGCCATTCATCAAGGATCTGGTTCCTAATTTCGTCTCTTACCTGTGTCAGGTGGCCGTTGCCGTTATTGTATAGGATGGCTCTTTCTTTCGCTAGGAGGTGAATGGGGAGCGTACCAGCAATCACCTGTAAGGCTATCGTAGATGTAGTCCGGTACGCACTAACTACTTTAAGAAGGGGCTTTCTTTGAGCTTTTGTAATCAAGTCTTTGTACCTGGCAAACCTTAAGACTTCAATCCATACGGGGGCACCGTACAAAAGGGTCGAATGCACTATTTGCAAGTACATTCTTCTTTTATAATTACTTGGCCCTCCTATATTAGGCATTATTTTCATAATGGCCGCTGTTCTGCGTTCTGCTGCTTGGACTACATTTATCAGGTGTTTGGTAAATCGTAGACTTGTATCAAGGTGTATGCCTAGATATTTAGCACAATTGGTTGGGACTATCGTCGTACTTGCAAATTGGAACGTCAGGTTGGGTATCGCTCTAGGCCCTTTTAATATAATTATCTCTGTTTTATTACACGCCAGCTGGAAGTCGTTAGTTGTCATCCACCTATTAACTTTTCTCCAGCATATATTAACTTTATTTATTGCATCCAAGTTTGTGTCACCCTCTATTAGTATTGCTAAGTCATCTGCATATGCAATTGCTGACGCACCTCTGCCGTAATCTATTTCCAATACTGTGTTATACAAGACGTTCCACAACGTTGGACCTAATACAGATCCCTGCGGTACTCCAGCCGATAGTTTTGTTTTTTCTTTGTTTGCCACTTTAATATATCTGTCGGTGAGGTAATTTTTAATTATATTTATTAGGTAGTCTGACACTCCAGCGGTTTCCAGTTTCCTTATGATGTATGCCCAGTTGGCAGAATTGAAGGCATTCTTTACATCGAACATAACAAGGATTGCCCATTTATTTCTTGTTTGTTTGACTGTATCGCATATAAATTTTACCGCGTCTATAGCTGATCGTGTTTTTCTAAAACCGTATTGCTGGTCAGAAATAGCTCCTGTGTTTAAGAGCTCCTGTTCAAGGCGGCGTTTTATGAGGCTTTCATAGAATTTCCCAATACGATCTAATAAACATATAGGCCTGTATGAACTAGGCCCGTCTGGTGGTTTACCAGGTTTTAAGATTAAGACTAAATTTGCAATCTTCAATTGGTCTGGGAATTCTTGGTTGTGTAGGAGCTCATTTAATACCTTTCTGGTGTCTTCAGGATTTTCCTGTACCATAATATGTATGGCTTCTGGTGGCACACCATCTGGGCCAGGGGATCTCCCGATTTTTATGTTTTCGGCAGCTAATCTTATTTCATCTATGGTGAACTCGTCAGGTCTATTATCTAGAGTATATGGTAGAAATTGGCATTCGGGTTTATTAGGGAAAAGGGCTTTCGCAATTTCCTTTCTTTTTTCTACACAAAGGTTATATGGAGCCTCGGACCTCAGTGTCTTAGTGGCAATTTTATAGGCTTCACCCCATATATCGTTGTCCAGCGTGTCACACAGGTTCTGCCAGCATGTGCGTTTAGCCCGCTTTATTTCTTTACTTAGTTCTTTCTTTACGCGCTTATATTCTTCCAAGTTTTCTTGGGTCCTGTTCCTTTGTGCTATTCGCCTGACTCTGAAACATTTTGTTCTTTTAAGCTGTATCTCGTCGTTCCACCAATAGGGTACAGTATATGTGACACATTTTTCCTTGCTGCTGCTTCTGTATGCATGTATTAGGTTTTTATGGTAGTTTGTGAAGTTAGTAGCTTCTTCTCGTAGGTTGCTAATTTTATTTTTAAATAGGTCTTTGTTAAAACTTATCTTTTTCCTACCGCTCTTCGTGACCTTGATGCCAATCTCGTAAACAATATATCTGTGAAAAGTAAAAATGTTTTCGTCAAGAACGTCCCAGTTAGATATTTGATTGGCATAACTTTCGTTTACGAGGGTAATGTCTATGTGGCTTCGGCTTTCACCCCGGACAAAAGTAGGTTTTCCATTATTTAGCGCTGTTAGATTGGCCGTAGAGATCCATTCGTTCCATAAATCCCCTCTATAGTCATTTCGTGGGGAACCCCATAAGATAGATTTAGCATTTATGTCGCCAGCGACTATAAAATTCTTTTCTATATGTGACATTTGTATTATGGATTCAATGTGCTGTTTGTATTGATCTCTACCTATGTTGGGTGAGATATAACAGGCAATAATAGCTACTTTTTCTAATTTGATTAGTACGTGCCCCTCCCCTTTTATAATCTTATTTATGCACACTTTATGATTTATGGGGTATAAAACTACATCTTCCCTGTTGTCTGCAATCCATCTGCTATTTTGGATGATTCTCTTGTTTGGTTCAGGTACTATTAGAATATCTGCTCCAATTTCGAGGGCTTTCGCATGAATCAGATCATGTGCAACCTTGGCTCTTCCGATGTTCACTTGTAGAATTTTTAGTCTTTTTAACCCGGTTAAAGCCATTTTGAAATCATTACCTTAGTATCATGTGTTAAAGGTCACATAGGATGACGGAACAGGCACTTAGACTGAAGTTGTCAGGACTCCCTGTGACAACGTCACTACACTAAAGGTAGCTGTAGCTTCGTCGCATAGAGATTTGGAGGACTCCAAAAGGGAGTTAACATGAACCTTGTTTGGAGAAGGGAAAGGAGGTATGGGAGTGAGCGTAGGAGGGAAGACATCCGCGTATTCTTCTTGCTGTTTTCTAAGTTTCTCATGATATCTCGCCTCCTGAAGGGCCTTCTTAAAATGTGTGCAGTCCATGCTGCCAGTTCTATGGGCGTCATTACAAAGAACGCACCTTTCTTCCTCTTGACACTTCTCTGCTTCGTGCTCTGATTTACCGCAACGGTAACACATACCACTCCTATCAGGGCCTCGACATTTATCGGTGTCATGCGTGTATGCCCAACATCTGCCACATCTTTTTATTTTTAGTCTTTTCTCGACTCTGCATCTACATACCCCAACTCTGAGAAAATCTCTGCGCAAAAGTATTTTAGCTACTCTCGCCGGGATGACAATTGTTGTGGCAAGGGTGTTGCCCCTCAGTGGTCGCATCTTTCCTATCTTGTAGTGGTCTTCCCACTTACCT